CCCACTAAGGACAGATATAGATAGGTAACGATTTCAGGGTATTGTACCTCTTAAATAAGCGAAGACCTATGAACTATGACCTATATGTTATTAGAGGGAATGTATTTAGCGCTAGGAAGGCTTATAAATAATAAGCTCAATCATATGCTTACATACGAAACCATCACAACAGACGATATTTTGACATCATAACAGGCGACGACATTTTGACATCATAACAGGCGACGACATTTCATACGACCATCATAACAGACATTCTGAACATGCAAAACGAGTGAATAGAACATAACACTTCAATTCTCTACATTCCTCAATAATAAGATATACTAATTTGGAAAGATGCTCAGTAGAATTCAAGTCAGGGCTTTTAAGTAACCAATTTATGACAGAGAAGTCAGAGGAATGCTCTTCCATCCAACCAACCAGTAGCCAACCGTAACCTGTGAGAGGCGCAGTTATCTTTCTGAGATACTCCCTTTCCGTGTGAATGACAGGGACATAAATGGATGGAGATGATAGCTCATCAACTCCACGTACAGAATCATATTGAGGGAGGTAAGAACAAGTACTAAAGATCCCAAACACAACCAGAAGAAAAGAAAGCATCCCAGACCATGATTAAGCCTCCACGGCCTTGTACAGTTCCAATCTGTCACACCGGATTCATACATTCATGATTCTCTCGCCATATTCTGAGCCTCCCATCGGTATTAATTAGAGGGATCGAGACTCATCACTCCTACACATTTCATGTCCACTAGTGTCTATTCTCTATATTCTCTTGCCCAGGTAAGAATGGCAACTCGATGGCATGCATTTAGGAAAGGTACCCTCGTGTGTCTACGGCTTCCGAAGCCCATATGGTGAAGGGAGCGATACACGATCTTTTTACTGACTGTACGACTGTCGCCTGCTTTAGCTAGGTGGTAATTTGAGCTAATATTTGGCTTCATTGACCATGTACAATACGGCTGAGACGTCTCACAGCACGATTGTTCTAAGTTAAATGTGCTTTGCACTTTGCAGAGTCGCTACTTCTTTTTCCCACCATCCGTGTATTCTCGGTATGCTCTTGACACTGTCGACCGTTAAAATCCTATCCCGCTGAGGATTTTAGAAATTGTATGGCCCATGCGACGAGAGATTACTATCTGCCCGATATTGAAATTTTACCTATACTGGTATATGAAACAACTGATTATCGACAAGCATAGTGCTAGCTGTATGTGCATTTACCACAACTCCCTCACGTAAGCCCAGATGCGGCGCAGCGCTATTCAATTTGCATAGCCATGTCTATCCCTAATTTAGTGGCACTTCAGTGTAGTTACAACTCATGAAGCTTGGGCATACGTGTAACGATTGCAAGAGATAAACATGAATTTACTGCCGAAAAAGAGGAGCAAAAGACTTAATATATTGGTTCAGAGAAAAAAAAAATTTTTTTTCTAAAGGTTTTATTGTTCTTACTGGATTCTTTTATAAGGGGAAACTTAAAATAAGGAAAGTAGAAAAAAATATCAAAATCAATTCGGATTACAATCAGAAATAACTTTAAACACCTATATTAAAAGACGAAATTCCATCTCTTTATCCAAACAATCTTGACTGTATTAAGTTCCATCAGGATAAGGCTACAAACCATACCTCTAAATCTACTGCTTTATGTTTTGAAAAAAGTGAGATATGAAACCGCAATCAGGGTTCATAGCCACATTTTAGTTAAAAAAATAAGCACCTATAAGCACTTTTCAAGCACATTTTAAGAAAAAAATAAGCACCTGTTTAATTATATCATACACAACTGCATAACCTTAAAAACTAGACTTATAATTTAAAATATGAGAAATGAAGTACTTATTAAGAGAGAATAAACATTACCTCAACCTTGGAAAATAATTAGTTTTTTTAAATTTTAAATAATAGTTCAATTTACAGGACTAGTTTACAATGAGAGGAAAAAAAAACCATGAAGAACTAAACTATATTAAGAGATTTAATGATGAAATTTCAGTTCAAAATAGAGAAAATAAATAATAATAAGTCATATTTATTATATTCGCTTGGAACCTAATAATAAATAAAATTTATTTTTCCACTCATATTGATATTTAAATAATTTAAATCTAAATTCTGAATATTTTCTAAATTTTCATTGTATATCAGTTTTCTCTTAACAGATATTGCAAGCAAAGTAATTTAAGTAAAAAAGAGGAACATTTCTGAAATCAGAAGACAGAAATTTGCTTCATGCAGTCATCTTTAACAGTAAAAGCTTAACTAACCCGCATACTTGGAAATTGGCGAATATTCGGACACTCGAGCGTAACTTGAAGGAGCGGAAGGGGGGTGGGATAGACTGTAGCCGCTCTTTTAGATTTTTCCGCTAAATAAATGCTTTTTGACATTTTCAATATGTGCATCATATAAAAATAAACCAACGGAACTAAAAAATATTCTGCTTAACAAGCACAGTAAAACTCTTTTAAGTGTTCATAAACAAATCTCGGACTGAACATCAAAATTAATTATCTCTGCAAAATATTGTTATTGCGCAATACGTGCGCCATAATTCTTCCCTACGTGATATTACGCAATCGGAATGAACAACTGCCGGTATCGGGAGAATAACGAACTAAATAACTGGGGTGTTTTTCATTCTAATTTTCAACAGACGGCGTTAAATTTTCGGAATAGAATCATTCTTCGCTTGGGTTGGTAGACCGCAGAACCTTTAGTCCTATTCAATCCAGATTGGAAAGTTATAAAAAGAAAAAAAAAAAAAAAAAAAAAAAAAAAAAAGGTTCGTTGCTTGTTTTGCATGGAACTTTTACAGTTTCATTATTCAAGATTTTGCGGAGAAAGGGGAGACCTCCCAACCTTCGTTTGCGTAATGTATTGGCCAAAAAAATGAAATGTTATTTTGACTATTCGATTACTTTCCCTTTATTTAAGCCATTCCGAATATTATTCCTTAGAAAGCTAATCTGTGTTAAAACACAACCATTTTCGGAAGTTTACTATACTTCAGGAGTTACTGCAACTATGTTATTATAAATATTCATACATATGCTTATAATAAGCATAACGATCATAATAAACACGAATATGAACTGACCAAGCAGAACGAGAATGCAAATTTTTAAGATCTTGATAAAAGTTCAAACGTGTGTAGTATTTGATAAAAATTCAATTTGAACTTGATAAAAATTCAAACGTGTGGTGGGAGGAAAGGAATGCCGAATGTATCGGAATTTTCTACTGCTTTCGCAATTCTTTGACCAATAGAACGACGGGCACCTGTCTGTACTCTTCGTGCACACCAAAGGTTATGTTAATACAGAGAAAGGGGGAAAAGCTATTTCCGGGAGTATGACTCACCATCTGACATTCCATATTAGGAAGAAAAGTTGTTTATTTAGTTTCGGTTTTGGTACGGGGAAAAATAGCGCGTTCACTAAAAAAAAAGCACTAAAAGCAAAAATAAGCACTAAAAACAAAAACATAAGTGTTTTAAAGAAAAGGTAAGCACCTATAAGGGCCTTTATATATTATTTTCAAATATAAGGACTTATAAGCACTTATAAGGACCGCTACGAACCCTGTCATAGTTATCACCAATCGGACTACGAAGAGCAAAACATCTGCAATAACTTTTATCCAGCAGCTTTTAATCTCTCCGACGGTATCAGTATAAACGACCAACTAATTCAGAGGTACAGTAATAACCTTTTCACAGATGGCTCCAAAACTGAGAACGGCACGGGCAGCGGCTTCTGTAGACTGGAAAATGGAGTTGTAACATTCGAGTGGAAAAGGAAGCTAGGCTTGAACAACTCGGTATATCAAGCAGAGCTTCTAGCTATCCGTGCTGCAATTAAATATGCGAACACATGCCAACAAGAGAAATTCTCCATACTCAGTGATTCGGCATCAAATCTGGCGGCTATCGCAAGTCAAAACAGCCGGAGTCCTTTGGAATATCGAATTCAGAAACAGCTTCTGACAATGCCTATTTCGCAAAGACCCACTTTAAAATGGGTTCCCGCTCACACAGAGATTCAAGGCAATGAAGCCGCTGACCTACTGACCAAGCAGGCAGCCAACTGCACGGATATATTAGAAAGACCAACTAAACTTCCTTGGTCTCATATTAAGCGAACAACTCTGACAAGTCTGCTACAAAATTGGCAAAATAGATGGACAGAGGCAGAGGGTAGGACGAAGGACATTTCGCTTACTGCCAAAAGTTAACATGGAAATAAAGATCCGCTGTGCTAGCCTAACACAGTTCTTGACGGGTCATGGACAATTCCCAGTGTACCTCAACAGATTCAGACTTAGAGATACTCCCTTTCTGCGAATGAGGAGAGGAAGGCGACACGGACCATTATTACTTCCATTGTGTACATACAAGAGCCTGGCACTTGAAGAAATCAGCGGACTGTGCCTGGGCAATGTGGACGTCTAACACACTCAAAAACAGAATAGCCCTAGATAAAATCTCAAGACACTGCCTAAGCAGAAACAACCGTGAATAATATTATGTTTCAAATGTTCAGAACTTAAAGCAGATAACCAAAATAACGCTTAGTGCCTTGCAATTATCAATATGTAAAAACTGTTATTAGTATGTAATATTCAACCTTGTTACTTTGGAGTCTTAATATCTTGATGGTATATAATTCCGTTTGGTTCATGTCCCGTGGTGGGAAGCCATCATAGCGGTGCACTCACTCACTCCCTATGAGGTTGAAAGAAGTTGAAAAGAATACAAACAATGCATGTGAATGTTGCGAAGCATAGTATCGATAAAAGGAAAATACCAAATTAAAAATAATCGTGTCCAAAGAGCAACAAAAGCCTACGGTACTCGAAGCCCTTTCCTCGGTTGCGATCCTGATGTGCACTTAAGAATTATGCAAATGATGCAAATTTATTTCTGATAAAAACAGACATTTCTCGATCTATACGTATTAAATATGTCCATTTCTTTTGTGTTAACCCTGTAATTTCACAGAAACACATTAAAACTGCTTTTTACACACGTTATACGTTTTTACAACTATATTTAATAATACAGAATAACATTTATCGTTACTTACTATATCTCTGTAAGAAGGTATACTCGTCCCTCCGACGACGGGTAGAGATATGACAACAAGCATCAAAGAGTGGATTATCAAAGCCACTACCAGATTCCTGTGAACTCTCAGTCTTGAACATTGTAGAGATCTAAGATTAAAAAACGAAGAAACGAAGGTGCATATAATTATAAGGTACTGATTAGTTTTGAGAAGCAAACAAATTGCTTGCAAAAATTTCCGAGCATATATCGACCCAATAATAAATGATTACTTCAGTGCAGGCCATTTTTGCTGTTCAGAATAATATTGGATAAGGAAATACTTTATATTGTTCGTAATAAATTGAATGCACAAGTCCAATGGAAAGGGAATAAAATTTATTATTATCACAACAAATAAAACAAAGTGCTTAAATTCCTCAGATATTCATTCAATATTGCAAAATCTCCCAATAGTTGTCTTTTAAACTACCAAAACGTTCAATAGAATTAATTCAAAACAGAGAAAGCTAATCCGATTTCACCGTAAATTCGCTACAGTAAACAACAGTTTTCTAAACAAAACTCATAAAACAACTACTGAATTGAGACGTCTTCTTCCTTTTATAAGCTTTTTAAAGCACGCACGAGAATGTTCTGGTATTTTCTCGATTTTTCCTGAAAGGCAGAGCGTGCAATTACGAGATATCTATTTATTAAATGCGCGGCTCCTCTATTTTTAATTTTTCCGGCGTAGCTTTCTCTTCAAATAAGTCGTGTGCGGTATTGCACGGAAAAATGAAACCATTTAATAACAATTCTATTAAAAATAGCAAACTAAAATAAATCAATACAAAAACCGTAACAATATTGTAGTAGAAATGGGGAAGGAATTAGGTTGCTAAAAGTTTGGTGGAAACAACATTTAGATGAGTCAAAATTGAATTTTTTTCAGCAGAAAAAATTGCTTCAAACAGATGTAGATATTTCCATTAAGTCGAATTTCTTTAGTTCGAAATATTCAGGAAGTCAAACTTCATAATAGCATTTCTAGCCTACATCATCAAATAAATTTATATTCATACTTATGATACCTAGAATATTAAGGTTTTTACCGTCTAATTTGCAAAAAAAGCTTCTTTAAGTGGAATTTAATTTTTTTAGGAAAATGAAAATTCTGTTCCGTTTTTATTAGCTTTATATTTCACCCAGCACAATTTTATGTTAGTAATTCATTTAAAAAGCTGCAGACAACGTTAATGCATCGTCATCAACAACATCGTGATGACAGACAAGCAGACATATTTTAAAATACAAGAAAGACAGAACAAAATAAATTTTCGGTTAAAGCACATGCAATATAAATCAAATAAATAACTTTCAACATTAACATTGTTTTTGAATGGATGGAAAGGAAAAAGACAAAATACATTTCTGAAATCAGTTTCGAAATTTGCACGAGAAAACTGCATTTAGTACTTACTTGAAGTAGAAGAAAATGAAGATGGTGACAGCAAGAAAGAACAACGATATTAACGAGCAGACGAGAAGAATCAAACTCACTGTTAGTGGAGTCTTTGGTACATCCTGGAAACAGAAAACAAACGTAACAATATAAACAGAAACATTTTCCTTTTCACAATAATGGCATTTCCGACTTTTCCTTTTTATTTTAGCACTAGTAACATTTTCTTAAAAATCGATACTATTCTTTGCTTATTTCGAATAAAATCGGATTATTTCAATTTCTCTGAGGTATAAGAAATGTAGAATTCTTGATATGAGTTGTTTGTAAATTGGCTGAGAAAATGAAATGAGTGGTAGCAAACAGGAGAGTGATATTAGAACCCCCATATTGCTTTAGCCTAGTCTCGGAACGGTCTTTTGCGTCGAATTACAAAAAGCGTTGAATCAGTTTTAAATTTCTTGCCACCAAATATCGCCTTCTATTATATTTAAAGAAACTGAATATTAAAGAATATGCCTGCATATTTCTCGCACTGTTAAACAACAACGGTACTTAGAGCCCTCAAACTTTGAGTAACATAGTCCTCCCCCCCCCGAATATGGGTTCCTGGAAACTGGAAATCCAAATTACAAATTTCGAATTTGTTTTATTATATATGTCATATTTTGTAAAACTTTAACCAATTTTGGATTAAAAAGCTCAGTGATTTCAAAGCGAGCAGTGGCAACACTGTACGGAATAAAACATTTTTATCTGCAGTACCCAAATGCTCTCGAAACGTGTAGGTGTGTATGAATGAAACAACGCCCCTTTGAAGGTAATATAAAATCTGAAAGCTTTCAGATTTTTTTCCTTCTTTTTCTTTCTTTTTTAAGTAGCCTTATTTTTAGGAAAGAATCTTTCGGTATCGAAAATCCATCAGGCAAGGATAGACAACGTAGTAATTTTGAGAAATGACATATTAAGTAATTTTGAGAAATGACATATTAAGTAATTTTGAGAAATGGCATATTAAGTAATTTTGAGAAATGGCATATTAAGTAATTTTGAGAAATGACATATTAAGTAATTTTGAGAAATGACACATTAAGTAATTTTGAGAAATGACTCTTCGCTGTATTCTAGATGTTCAACAAAATTTGTCATTCAGTCCTCTAGTTGGAATTTTTGAATTGTAATTATTAGTCAAGATTAGAGTTAAAATTACTTCCAGTTTTGATTAGAGTTAAAATTCCTCTGTCGTATAATTTTACAGATATTCTGACGAAAAATAGCATAATAAGTAGGAAAATATGAAAATAATCTTATATATGTAATAGAGTTTAAACATTAAAAAAAGACTTAATATGTGAGGCTAGATTAATTTCCTCGAAAAATACCAGTGGGATACATATTAGACATTCAAAACACCCACTGTAGCACGTATATCTCATATGCACACATTGGTAAATATTAGTATTGTTGCGTTATGCGGGTTCGTGGATTTGGAGTGATTGATGATAACACATGATGAAGAATCAAAACAGTTTCACAGGACAGTTCCAATGACGCGTTACAGTCGTAGAAAAACTACGATAAAGACCCTGAAACAATCAGCATTACAGTCTTGAGGCTATCAGGCTATAACGATGAAGAGAGCTTTACGGCAAAGCACTAAAGTACAGCTCCCGACTCGGTTGATCGCTCTTAAGCTAATCTCTGAACTGAAAGCACTACTACTGAAATCAACACACGCAAGATACTTTTCACGATAAACTCCCGATAAGCTTCAAGATACACTGCTACTCCGCGGACAGGCAGGGTATTTATAGCTTGTCTTCGAGAACATTCTTGGTAAAAACGGAAAAAATTCATTCTAGAATGTTCTCGCTCCATCTATAGCATATCGCCCATTTCGCGCCAAACCTGGCAACCATGCTTTTCCTTGCGTTTTTCTCTAGCAACCTTAAACCGGTTTTGTGGAGAACCTTTCTTACTGCGGCTGGGCATTTCGTAACAGTATTTTTATTTGCTGCAGTGGCCGAGTGGTTAAGACCATTGAAAGCTAAAAGCTCAACTCGGGCTCGAACCCAAGCGCACAAGCTTCCCTTAGAAAGCCCTTCACAGCGGCATACCTTATCTCAGCCATATGGCCGTTGGATGCTTTCCTATATTCGAATAACCTGCTACAGCAGCAGTTTTATAATATTTATTTCCATAGATCAATTTATCACAATTACAAATGAAAACAGTTACTTTTAAAAACAGAAGAAATGCTTAACTTTCCTATTTCCTTTGTTAAGTAACCAGTGTTACTTAATATGAAACTAATTAGCTGTCCAATAATGGTGAGTTTCATGATACTTACTGCTGTAGCTACATTTTAATCCCTACTTGGAATGGCGCTGTAATAAAAGAATTAATGACATCACCCAATAAACTACTGAATTTTCTATCGTTAATCAAGCTTGGCCATTAGGCATGCAAAATTCTTCAATTCACATTGAACGAACAGACATTTCGTCATTAATCTCCCAAATTCTGCAGCAGAATCTTTCTTGAAATGTAAAAGGGAGATGTCTATGAAATCGGGAAGTTAGTGGTTATTTTGACTGTTATTTACCATTAAATAATGAAAAATTTATATTATACGTATATATTATTTGGGTATATGATGTATGTTTGTATGTTTGTCTTTCGCTCTGCGGGAAAAGCGACGGTAACTAGAGCCACCAAATTTGAATACACGTAGTTAGTTCTCCACCCAAACATCTACACTTGGAAGCCCGACTTTTTAATCTGGAATTACTTTATTTATTTCATATTTGGCAAGAATTTAATGAATTTTTGATTAACAAACTCAACAGTTTAAAAGCAACCAGTGGCGACACTGTTTGAAAGAAAACATATTTATCTTCATCGCAACCAAGGGGGTCAGAACAAGTGGAGTAAGACTCCCCCATATTCCCCGTACTGAAAATGAAGCCATGGAACGTCACGACTCATCATGGCTGCTACCCCAAGCAGACGTTTGGTTAGCTTTGTTTATATTCGAATCGGTGTTGTCTACAGGTTAGTTATTCATCACTGAAGGTTATACTTCTTCCGTAATTTTAATACTTAACATAAAAATTATTTTACTTAGTGTATAGAAAAATCACAAGGATACAAATAACTGTTTCAAATTTAATAAAATCTAGGTAATCTGAATGAAATGCAAATGCGTAAATTGTAACTAAAAAATGTGTGCATGGTAAAATCTGGAAGGTCAGTGAACGTTTCAATGGTATTTTATTTAAATTATGCCTCGAATTTCTTTATTGAGGACGTTGATATTTGCTCACATCTCAACTATACAAATCAGTGTAATTTTATTTAACAAGTTATTTAGTATTCTTATCCGTACACTGTATGGCGGCCATGATAAGTCGTAAAGCCACGTTGCTGACATTTCCTTGGCTTCAGTTTTGTGACATCAGGCTTTCTCCATTTATTCTAACCTCCTTGGGCACAATAGACTGTCGTCATTTGGCAAAATGTAAGATATTTATCTTTCATAATTTAATTTGCAAACTCGGTTGTTTAAAAACATTGTGTTGTCACTGCCTGAATTGAAATACTTTTCCTTCCAAGGGCCGTTTGGCAAAGAGTAATATATTTAATCTATTTGTTACTGATTAAGAATTAAGCAATTTAAAAGCAATAAGTGTTGTTCTTTCTTTCTGTTAATATCAGATACTAATTGGTCCCCTTAAAATACAGAAATTGGACTCAATGAAATCATTACATGTTTTTTTCTCTTTTATAAAAATGTTTCAGGCAACCTATCTCTCAAGCAACTAGTTTTTATATGTAATCAATCCATCGCATGTAGGCCTTTCAGCCAAAAGAGCAAGAAAAAGTTCCTTCAAATGAATACTAAGAATAAATGAAAAATTGTCACTCTGTGAGAAGAACCTGCACCTTTTATGAAAAGAAATGTCTGTGCTATGATTAATAGCCTCAGCAGAAAATTATCGAGATACTGAGATTTGAAAATCTTTGAGAACTGCAAAAATCATCCTTAAATTTTTATTTGCATATTAGAGAAAGGAATTTTCCAGGCATGCAGCATGAAGTGAAATTTAAATAATTTTAATAGTTTTTTAAAACATACGTAAAATGCGATCATATCTTTTTATATCACATAAATCAATGAAAAAATGCAAATGATAATAAAACCATCTAAATGAATAAACAACAAGCTTGATTTTACTTAGCCTAAAAAAAAAAAAAAAACGAACTATCTGGATAAGAGGAATTTTCAGTATTTATTTTTACTGTATTGTAAACTGAAAAAGTGAAAACAAATGAAAGCTAATTTCACAAATTTACACGTACTTGAAAATTCCGTTATATTATTATTAAAAAGCCCAAATTTTTGTTCATAAATAATCATATAGTATAAAGAGAAAAGAATGAATATAAACAATAAAGAATCAATTAAGATTTGAAACTCATTCAACAGTCAACAAATAGCTGGAAGAAAAAACAAAACTTCTTCTGTTGTCTAATTCCTTATTAACGCTTTACGGTTTAATATTCTAAGTGCATGCATATATTTAAGACAAAGAACGCATTACTAAAGTGCTATTATTCTGCGGGGACTAGTTTTTTACAGTTTTTTAGTTATTAACGGAAATGATATATGTGCTTTTCTACGTTATTTTGCGGCCTACCAGCGGCCGAGCGTTAAAGTCGCTGAACACTGGTAGTTCGGTCCGAGGTTCGAATCCCGCGAACGGGCTGGTTGCATGGGCGTTTTCGTGGTTTTCCCCATGTGTAACGTGAATACGAGCTACTTTTCCTTAGAAAGTCCTCCCCGAAGGCATCCCTCCCCTTAGGCAGATAGCCCTAGTGTGCTTTGCCGTAATTAAATAAACTAAAAAAAACTATATTATTCTGCCTCGAGTTTGAACATTTCATAAGTTCGGGTTTTGTTTTTCAGTTGTTTTATTTTCTATGCTCTCTTTTGAAGTTTTTATTAAATATGAAATAAAGAAGTAGTCAAATTAAAATTAAGCTAGCATATATTTGAATATTTTACTTCAAAAGTATGAATTAATTTATTAATATTTGGTAAAAGCTGAAAGCAAACAAAAATACTTACAGTAGTTGTAAAATTCAAGCATTCGCTGTAATTGGTCCAACTTCCCCAAAGCCATTTTCCATCTTTATCGCATATTCTGTAGGCTTTCGCTTCTAAAAAGGACAATAAAAACACAAATTACTTCTTGCATTTTAATACAAGTTTAATGAAAATACTTAAATATTAAAAAAACTTTAGACCTTACGCTACTAATAACTCACAGTTTAGAATGCAAGGTGTTTTCTGATATAACTGAGTACGAAATTCTGGAAAATTTAATTTCAATTAAATGAAATCATAATTTTATTTTAAAAAAGTGCTCATATTCAAGGTTGAACATAACTGAAAGACAAATAAGATTTTAAAAATATTTATCGAAAACCAAATTAAAACTATTTTTTAGGCTTAAAATTTAAAGAATCAATTGAATTTCAAATTCCAGCTACTTCAGCGCATGTCATTTCCTCAATATGTATCTTGGTTCCTCATCAGGCAGTGCTCAGGATTTATGATTGTCATGTTAAACATCCGTTTTGATGTATTTTGCATTCGTTTATTGATGAAGGCGGACATTATTGGAAATGAAAACTTGCGTAATAAAAATAATAACAATAATAAAAAGAAAATCTGAAACGTTTCAGATTTTAAATTACATCCAAAGGGGCGTTTTTTAACGTTTTGTTTGTTACCTTTATTTATTAAATATCATGCTCTTTGCATCTAAACCGTAAAATTCAGTTCAACAATATCGCAAAATAATTTTAAAATGAGCATATCTTTAGAATTTCCGATACACAGTCTCACGCGCTGGAGATAAAAAAGTTTTTTTTTTCTGTACAACGTTGCCATTGCTGGCTTTGAAATCCTTGAGTTTTGTTAATCAAAAATTCGTTAAAGTTTTACAAAATATGAAATCGATAATAAAACAAATTCCAAATTTCAAATACGGGCTTTCAAATGCCTATGTTCGCAGTAGGATTACGTTATTCAAAATTCGATGGCTGTAGGTACCGTTGTTTTATCAGAATGCGAGAAACATACATACATTTATACAGATTCTTCATTATTCAGTTTCTTCAAATATAATACAGGGAGATAAGATTGGGTGGCAACAGTTTAAAAAGTGATGCAGCCTTTTCAAGTTTTCAATGCAAATTTGCAAAACGAAAACAATAGTCCCTCAGGGACAAATAATTTGGACTAATAATACCTAAGAAAGCAGTTTAGTGCATTTTAGTATTAAATGCATTTATTTTAAAATTCTCTGAAATACGAATTTTTTAAATGTTTAACGGATTTGGGAAGAAATTTTGTAGTAGTAAGGGAAAATGGAGTTTTGAGAATAAAAAATATTTTTCAATTATTTATATAGATATGGAGACGAAAACATATATACCCATATAAACATAGCTATATCCATAGCCATATATATAGATATGGAGATGAAAACGAAGTGAAGGGATATAGATTCCAAAAGGAAAGAGAAGGAGACGAAGGCTACGGACGAGGTGGCTAGACAATGTGAAAAAGTGGTTAAAGAATGCTAGTGTCAATAACGAAGGACTGTGGCACTGGATGGGTCAAGGTGGCTGAAGCTGACTGAGACAGCCTTCGCCGTATATCGACTATCATGATCTTTCTATGGAATCAACAATGATTCTCTTGTTTCATTTCTTCAATTCAGCATTTTATTTAGCACGTCCAATTTAATTAATTACAAATTGAAATTTTTAATTTCCACAATAGTGCACATTTACTATCTAAATTTAATTGCTCATTTCCTAAAAGATCATTTTTCATAATATATACTATGAATAATTATTTACAATACATTTAATACACTATGAATACAGGTGCTGATTTTAGATTTCTCAGTTCTTTCGTATTAAAAAAAAATCTGATGTGTACACCACATGCCTTCCTTATACGGAATATTAAATTATACACATTTTTTTCTTGCATTTCATTTAAGCTTATTGGTTTGAATTAAATTTACTTCGTCGATACCGCATAAACCAAAATAGAATAAATGTACTTTTTAAAATTCATTATATTTGTTTACCATAGCGACACTTTGGCCATAGGTTCACTTAACAGTGTTACATTTCATTCTTTTTTTAACTATGTTTATGTCTATGTCTTATCACTTAGTAAGAGGCAATCGACCATTAACGGCCTTTACAAGTATATGATACTTTTAAAAATGCTTGAAGAATCGAGTAAGTTGTATCCAATAATATGGAAGTACTTGTACACATGCTGTGCTAGAACTCAGAGATTACTAGCGACGGAGGCTCCTGTGCCGCCGTCCGTAGAATAAGTAAACTTTGAACAAAAGAGGTGTTCGTGTGGCGCCATCTATTAGTAGTGATCAAAAGCATTTTAATTGCCTGGAGCCCTGGTTGCGTCATCTCTTGTAAGGCATTTTTAAAATTTCATAAAAATTATTCTTTTTGATAAGGCAATAATGGCAAGTAAAATGATGAAAAAACATAATTTGCAGTACATTGAAAACGTTTCACAAGATAAAAAACTATTTACAACACATTCTTTTTTTAACTCAGAATGCACAAAATTTATATCATCTTGAATATCTAATCGTTGCCACATCTAATCGTTCTATTCAAAGACTGTAAATCTAAAACGATGTTATAAAAGAAATAAAACAAAAAACAAAAAAAAAAAAAAAAAAAAAAAAAACAAAAAAGAAAAAAAGAAAAAAAGAAAAAAAGAAACAGTTTTTCACAGACGATTCAGTATTTCTCATTCAATTAATTCCGTTTTCCCTTTGCGACAAGGCAAAAATACATAAAAACTCAAAATATCTGTATTGAAAATTACGAAGTAAATCTTAAACACTTATTTCCTCAAATAAATTCCAGAATGGATTAAGCATGATTTAATTCACGATAATAAAAGACAGCGTTGTCTTTGTTATTGTGAAGCTTACTTTCTCTAGATTGGCAACAAATCTACTATTCTGCTGTTTCAAATGTAAACAAAGATGGCAGCTATGGGAAAAAAGTAGGCTTAGCGGCACTTAAACAACTTTTACATTGTTGATAATTCTAAAAATATTGCATTTAGATTTACTAAAGGCATAATAAACCTACCGGGAGATAAGAACAACATAATTCAATCATTTCTAAAGCAAAAAGGGCACAATTTACAAGCATATAAGAATAAAGAAACTAAGATTACTGAGACGAATAACAGAGTGCATATACATAGATATAGATATATTTATATACTTTTGGTACGGCCGACTGCAACCAAAACACGAGATGCACATCTACATGTTGTTGCAATTCTATAACAAAATTTCAACGTTCTGAGGCTATTTGATTTTGAGTTATGCAAAATACGTACGTACGCACAGACGCCGTGAAAAGTTCTTATCAGAATTCATTTTAAATCAGTTTATAATTTTTTTGGGGGGAAAATAGTCCTTTATTCTGTTCTTACGTACGGATGTCACGCAAAAACATCGTTAAATTGCATTCGATAGCGGTCAAAATGCATATTTTCGTTGAAATATGATGCTTGAAATGTTTCGCGATTACAATACTTCCTTTTTACTTCCAAGGAAGTAAAAACACTTTTGACTACTTTATTATATTCTTGAAATATATATATATATATACAGAGAGAGAGAGAGAGAGAGAGAAATAGAGAGAGAGAGAAAATAATGACAGTGGTTTAGAAAGGATTCACTGCATGGCATTAAAAGTTTGAATTTTTAATTTTTGAAATACGTTTCAACACTTTTCTACATTAGAATGATTCCGCGATTTTATTGAAACTGAAAATAATATCAGCTTTTTGAAATGCTAATAAAGAATACAGTAATCTTTAGAAAATGAGTGACTTTTAAAGGTCAGAATCATTAGACTGCTGAGTTTGATGATTATGGTAAGTTTTAATGAAATTTGATTCGTTACTAGTCTTCATGTGGTTTACATTGTTCAAAATACAACGAAAAAGTATCTAAAAGAAATCAAGCACGTTTTCAAGCATATATAATTTAGTTATTATCAAAAACAGGATTTACGTTGAAACAAAATAGACTTACTCTTTTCATGTGGCTACTTTGTGTTCTTTAATTCGGTACTTTAAGAAATGATATTAATAAACTTAGTATCATTTCTCATTGGCCTGAGAATAATGCTGAACCTTTCAAAAATCGCAGTACAATCTGGAAAGCATAATCTGAATTCATTGGTTCTTTAAGACTCACTGCAGGGAAGAAGTCGAGAAATTCTATCGATTTAACGTTTCTGTATTAGTCTTATTTTTATTTTAAATTTATTTACAGCAGCAGCAAGATTTGAAACTACATTGCAGATTATGACTTTAGAATCAAGTAACAATTTAATCTCTCCAATATAATCTCGTAAGGTATAGAAAGCGAATTCACTTTATTTGTAATATGAGGGAGATTAAACTATAAGATTTTCTTCCGGAAAAAGATAGCAACACAAAATATCTTTATAACAATTTATCTTTCCAACATTTGCTCGTAAAGTATAGAAACAGAACTTACTTTGCATGTAATATTATTAAGGAGATTAAATTATGAGATTTTCTCCAGAAAAAAAAATGGCAACATAAATATCTTTATTAAATTTAACTCTAGAGGAATTGAATTAGAGGTGGGAAATTCTTTCGCCTAATTTTAGAATTCTCGACACCTGTTTAAAATGCAGAAGCTGTAGATAGTTTAGGAAGAACATGTCTCAGAGAAAGCAATTCTAATCTACTTATGATTAATATTAAAAGTCTAAAGCTCTTTGTTTGTTGTTATATTATTATAATATCAATATGTATTACATTGTTAAAAACAATGTCTAATTAGTAGACTTTTGCGTTTAGTCATTAAGAGGATTATCTAAAATTCAGGAAATTCCAACAATTAGAGTTTTAATTCTCTGTCTTTTAAAGTTACCTTGTTAGAATTACTTTGGAATTGATTAGGATTAGTTTGTCTTTTGTAATACTCAGTTGCGTAATCTTCCTTAAGTTAGTCATTTTCAGTGCTTACGATTGTTCAGAACTGAGGTTGTTGTTTACATGTGGCAAGAGATATTTTAATGAATTAGAAAATCGCGTACAA